CTAGTAAGAGTAATTAAGTGAATGACACAGGTGGTAAAGGAACTTTCAAAACTCCACCATTGTGGGATCTATAATATAAGAAAATATGAAACACATTTATGAGATTTTATGATGAATAACTCTGCATATGACGTTAGTTTGAGTTTTAAAATTCTTAAACTGTTATATTGAGATCGAACAAACTGTTGACAATTCAAACGGTAGAACATTCACCTTCATTGCATGAATAGCTTTAGTGAGTTGAGTTTGAACGCTGTAACAAGTTTCTTAGGATCAAAGACTTATAATCATGATGAAAGCATTTTAAAGTGAAAGCTTTCAGATTACGAGGCCTACACAAAGACCAGTTGGTTATTCCATGTAACTCATACTTCAGTATTCGTCAGTAAAAAGACAGAATTTACCTTTCTTTAGAAGTAAACACACGAATTTAGGCATGTTGAAGTTTCTTTAATTGACGTCATAACTAAAACTATTATTGTGATTGGCTCCAAGAACATGCCACGTTTCAGAGACAACAAGTAATCCTTCAATGCGTTATAAGGCCTGTTTCAAACATTGCATTTTACATTGTCCGAATGTATTTAAGACAAAAGATAATGAGATAAAATTCCTTATTATCTTTTGTCTTAAATGCATTGAGCACAGGTAAATGCAATGTTTGAAACAGACCTTAAATACGCATTGAAGGATTACTGTTGTCTTTAAAGGTGACATGCTCCTATTGAGCCAATCACAATAATAATTTTAGTTATGACGTCAATTAAAGAAACGTTAACATGTTTAAATTCGTGTGTTTATCATCGACAAAAATTCAGAGTCAAAAGACTACCGCTAAGGTTGTCGAAACGTCATTCAACAACAACAAAAACAGTCCTTCTCAGGACTATACAAACCTGGACAATCTACATTTACAAACATGTAACGATACTCCCGGGTTTAAACTATTTACTTTAAAATAATTGTATTGCTTACATGAAACTATTTGGTATGAAAAGCCAATCACTATCGTTGCATTTGCTGCTGGATTTCTTCTGCTGGTGTAGGTGACAGATGGTGTCAGAATTTTTTGTTTTTTAATAAAAAACGATGATAATGAAGAGATGAATGATGGATATTCTACATCATATTGGGATAGTCATGGATCAACAAACTTATCCAATATGCCTGATGTGTATGAGAATCCATCATATACATCAGTAGATGAGTATAATTTTAATCAATTTTCACCGCGACATTCTCGAGCACAAATTGTCATCTTACCTGATGAGAATAATCATGGACCACAAATTGGATTTCAATCATTTTATACTACACCGTTGCATGAGTCAAAAACACAACTTTAAATTTGAATTTTCATGAATATTTATGTGGAGACAATGATCTTATAAAGTAATACACCAAAAAAAAATGATTCTGATATAAATCTTTAGTAAAAATATTGCATGGACTAGATTAAACAGCGCTGACATTAGCACAATCATAGAATACACTGCTACAAAGACTGGCAACTACATTCAGGCCAGGTTATGATTACGAAATAGGCTAGGGTCAGTTTAGTACGTGGAAAGGTACTTTATAAAACTTCCTGTTACTGTTGGAATAGCTAGATTTTGTATTTCAACAAAAAAATTTTAGTGAACAATCAATCTACTAGAACAGGGGTCTCCAAACTACGGCCCGCGGGCCAGATGCGGCCCGTTGGGCTTCTCAATCCGGCCCGCAGAGGCACTTCAGCAAAAATAATAATATTATTAAACAAAATAAATTTCGTGCAGAAAGTTCACGTTATGTCGCAAGCCAACTAGCAAGAGTGGCTTACGTCAATTTTTCTCCCAACTTCCTACTTCCGTTTCAAGCACACTGCAAAATTTAAAAAGCTGAAGGATAACGTGTAAATTTTTTATATTCTTCGGCCCTCAACATGCTGGATGAAAGTTCATGTGGCCCTCTAGCTATAAAGTTTGGAGACCCCTGTACTAGAATCAAGGTATGTTTATACAATCCTTGTCTTTCCTTCTCAAAGTTTTTATTTGTTTAACTTTAAAAGAGAAAATCTTCTGAATCCACTTTACTTTATTTGTTTTTTTTCAACACAACTTTCACTTTGTTGGTAACTTTCTTCATCTTCTTGTCTCATTCCATTCACGATTTTGCCATTTTTCGACAGCCTCCACATCGAACCTTCTTTCTACTGAATTCTCACCACAGCATATAATGAACGCAGATATTCGAAGAACTAAATAGCCAAAAACACTTGCACTAATAACACCAAATGTAATCCTTAAACGCTATTTATAAGATCTTTTCATGCTCTTGACAAGATTTTACTCCTGCAAGATCAAGCAAGATTTTTAGCAAGATCTTGTCAAGATCTTACAACATTATTTTAAGCTTTTGCCATGATTTTACTCATGGATGATCTTGCAAGATTTTTGAAATTCAGCGAATATAAATGACGCACTTTTGACCCTCTTATAAGAGTAAGTGTTAAGCACGTGCTCACAAAGCTTACGTCATTGTTTCATCATCATTACATGTTTTGATTGTTTTCATCTCACATCAAACATTTTTTTAAGATAATTATAAATTTCAGATTCAGCAATTTGTTAAAAAGTTTTGTGAAGAATATGAAACTTATCGTCAGACCTATACTGTCATGCATGTTAACTTCCACATGAACAAAACTAAAATATACAACTGTGTTGGTAAGAATATGAAACTTATCGTCAGACTTATACTGTCATGCATGTTAACTTACATGAACAAAACTAAAATATACAACTGTTTTGGTATTTTTTGGCCGACACTGACAGCTCCTGTAGTTTTATTGTTACTCTTGTCTTAATATCATTTTACCGACGATTTTGTCTTGAATACAATCCATCTTTCCGACCGTAAACACACAAGTCAAAAAAAGAAGAGATCAAACTACAAAATTTGGACAATCAATTCGGACAGCAGTACTGTTTATGTAGAATAGTGGTAATAAAATGGTTAGGAGATGCTGTTGGGGCATTTGTAAATCTTATTTCAAAAAAAACAGAACGACTAACTATAAAGGCAAAAGGTGTAAGAGTGAATAAAAACTATTTTCCGTCTAATCAAAGGAAAGCTTGGATATGACATGCAATATGCAGATACAAAATTATAGAGAAAAATGAAAATCTTCCTAACGTTGTCGCGGATATTACGAGTGCCATAACAAAGTGCTGATGAGTTTGATATGCATTTGTTAAAACAAGCTTAAGAGGACAAAAAGTATGTCAAAAATATATGATTTAAAATTTGCTTAGCGCATTTACAAGCACCAAATTCAGAGCTCGCTCTGTCACAAATTTAATTGAGAATTAATCTGAGCATGCGTACTCTCCAAGTTCATGGTCATGGCAACGAACAACTGGATGTACTATTAAGGAGCTGTTACACGATGCGATTTTTTTAAGCAATTTACGACTAAAAAAATGAAAAAATTTCAAAAATCGCAAGTTGCTTGAAGGTGATACACGACACCAATGATTAAACAACTTGTGATAAAATGCAAAAAATCTCAAGTTGCTTAATAAAATCGCATCGTGTAACAGCACCATTAAAGTGCTTATCTCACAATTTTTTTTCGAATTTTCGTATTGCTTCTTCTAAAGTAATCTAAAACTTATATTACAATTTTTTCATGCGCTGCATTGTTTTCGAATTATTATTGATCAAATATGAAATTTGACAGTAAAAGTTGATAATTGGCATAGGGCCTGGATCAAGTCTCTGTGACGTAACTTAAGGAACAAGTCAAGCGCTTGTTATCAACGATTAGATGGCGGAGTTGAATTCTGATTCGGTAAGCTCTCATAGTTCGCAATGTGATTCGGAGTATGATTATATTCCCCGTTATGTCATCGAAGATGAAACAAGGAACATTAATGACCAGGAATATAATATAATAGATGAAAATCACGGCGAGTCCGAGTCCTATCTATACGCTGATGAACCAATGGCCGAACAAGCATGGTATGAAGACTACGTGGAAAAGTCAAATGAACATAAAAAGCAACTTGAAATGCTACAAAAAAGACTTGATCACACAGTTGAGTTGAGTTCTTGGTGAGTAATAAAATTTCTAATTACAATTCAACTTATGAAATTTATTTCAATTCAGGTTTCAAGTTATGAAATATAGACATAAACGTGCAATTTTCTATTCAAGATTAACATCGCTTTTTTTATTTACTTTTGGGTAAAAAATTGTTAAAAGATGCCTGATTACAATTTTTTAATGGGATTTTCTTTATTGATCAGGTGCAAGTGTGGTTTTTGTCAAGTTACACTTCTTCAGAATCCTCTAGAGGCCTGGTGCTGCCAAAAACTTAAGTCTGTAGCTGAAAGCTTAACACACCAGTCGGTTCTGGCAGATCTGTGAACTATTCCATGTTGTGTCACTCTACACCCAGGTTTCAGACCAGTTTGTTTGGAAAAGTGGTCGCTAAAAATGGATGCTAGAAATACAAAACCAGAGAACAAAGACGATACAGAAAAACAGGATCTGAAAACATGTATGATAGCATATAATGTTATTTCCCAGTATTTAAGTATATTTTAGTGTTATGACACATTAGTAATGATTTGGCTTTATATTCAGGTTTTTACGATGTGTTGCATACAGAGAATTCACATCTATGATTTATGGATGCTTAGGAGAAGAAAGAAACCATTACCAGCATGTGCATACCATGCAATAAGATCAAAATTTAATGATAAAAAGTTGGAATTTAGAGGGTACGAAGAAAATGAAATAAATGAGTGATGTGAAAATTAAGTTTTCCTATTTTTTGGGCAATCTGCCCCATGTTTGTAACCTTTCATTGGCTTCTTGCATGTCAAACATTTTGGCTGGAATTGAGGGGGGACATCATTGACCACAATGCATTTTCGACGGACCTGTTTTAATACCTTAGATCTGGGTTGCTTTTGCAGCATGACATTCATTGGTGGTGGGGACATTTCTTTCAAAGATTTTGTGAATTTGATAATGCGTCTTTGTCTTTTATTGACATCATCACACTCTCAAATAATTCATCCACATACTCTAAAAAGAAATTATTGTCGTATTCAATACTATGAAATGATGCAAAGCAACACATTTAGCAACAACTTACCAAATTTGGGCTTAACTCTGACATCCCTCACAGTTTCTTCACCATTTTTAAACTTTGGATACACCACATTTATTTGGAAAGTGCCATCATTCTTCATCTTTACATCACGCCTTAAGTTGTTGTTGAAGTGGATGGATGCCAAAATGTGTCTAAAACAATAAAGACTTGTGGAAGTTGCAAAACAACTAACATTGTCATATTGGAAATTTTCGCCCCACCTGCAATACATTCCAACATAGGAACAATAAATCATTTTTGGAGCAAAATGATTCAGGACAGAAAGGAATCCTTCCAAACAAATTGTTTGAGCAACTGGTGAAGCCTGGTGAATTGACTTCATCAGCTGTGGGTTTAACAATTTAGCACAAAGCTTTTCATGAGCAACTGAACCTTAAACATTACAACAAAGAATGATGATAAACTGTTAGGGAAGTTATCTTTAAATAATGCCTTCATAAACCTTCATTTTTCCTTCTTTAAATATTCCCTTGGTTTAATATCGGGGCCATGAAAACAACTTGAAAACAGTGGATCATCCAAATTGGTGTGCTTGTCTACTATGTGACTCAGGAAAGATTTGAACTTTGCCCAAATTTCTTTGCCATCACAATAACAAACAGCCGAATACTTAGTCGGTGTCCATCGAGCGCGTTTTCTTGCAACAAAATTCACCCAGATTTTACGTCTTCGCTTCGCTTCAGGACGCTCATCACCGTAAAATGGCATACGGTGAAGAGAAATTCTTTCCGCAGAATTTGCTCGGTTTGAACAGCCGAAAACTGCACATCTATCGGGCATTTTGATGCAGAGCCGAAGTAGATAAAGTAGAAATTATAGCAAAAAATCACACTTCACAAAACTTCCTGTCCTTATGTTACGTCACATACTTCTCGATTCAGGCTCTCATCAAACAAATTGAACGCGCAGCAATTTTTCTCCCTTATTGCCAAATTTGAGAAAAGAAACGCATTTATCTCATAAACGAAGCCATCAATCAGAAAATTGTAAAATAACTTTTACAATGATTTTTTTACCTCAATCAGAAAATTCGAAAAAAAATTTGTGAGATAAGCACTTTAACTTCCTTATCATGTAATCCATTTGACACCGCCTCTTTTAGTAGTGATTTAACACCTTTTGTAAATATAATATCTTGTCTTAACATCCTACTAATTATTACTTGTCTGAAGATGTCTTGAGTAAAGACGAAACGTCACAATAATTCCATTTTACAACTTCTGGTCTATTTCTATGGCTTTAATTAAAACTTTATGTTGGGCATTACTTTTTATTATACGAATGTAGAATTTGTTACAGCCTGGGCAATTAATTTGATATACGAGATCGAAACGAGTGAGGGAGCAGATGTTTTCTTTGTTATAAGAGAAAAAAGCGACGTTTTCGTTGTCAAAAATAATAATAAATTGACCTAGTTTAATAAGACCTTTACGAATTTTTTTTAAGACAATTATAAATAATTTTCTGCCATCAACTGATATTTTAATGTCTAGAAAATGAACTGTACCCTCCGTATCAACAGAGAATATGACGTTTTTATAAAATTTGTTAAAATAGTTTTAATAAAGCCGGGATGTTGGAAAGTAACAGAGTGTCATCTACATATCTTCTATTTTATTGTGCCGGAATCAATTAAATCGGAAATGATAGATTTTTTAAATTCAGTTAAGGCCGAAAAACACTGTGCAGTCGCTTTAGTCGCGCGACTAAAACTACAAAATTACGCGGTCACTAAGTTAGTAATTTTAGTCGCGAGTCTAGCAGCTTTGGAAGTTTAGCATGTTGAACTTTTGACCTTGGTCGTCTCAGTCGCTTTCATGTGATTGATTGTTTCCTAGCTGAAAATGTCAATTTATGAAGTTTACGTGAACAAAGATGGCTGGTTAAGAAGAAGCGCTAATAAATTATTTTCGCAACTTTTCCTGTATTATTTGATCTTGCAGACAAAAATTTTAAAAATGAGCCGATGAGAGTGAATGCGTGGCATCAAATTCTAGACGATCTGAGAGCTCTTGGCTTTACAGGAACAGGTAAGGAGCAATTTATTTATCTTTGATATTTTTCAGTGATACCGTGATAAGAAATGTTGTCTGTTGAAATTAGGATTGTTTGACATATTGAGCATATTGTTTTATCAATTTTATCAGTTGAGGAGCTCAAGGCCAAAATGAAAAGCCTTAGAGATGTATACGTCAGATACAAAAAGAAAAACGATGCTGCCATAAAATCAGGAGCTCCAGCCTCATTCACACCATCATGGGAGTTTTGGGGTTTGATGACAATGGTTGGACGATTACAGAAAGCGTCAACGGTAAGGCATACATATTAACATTTATGTCTCCTTTTATTATTGTGTTACTGTATAGGGCTGAATGTGTAAAGTAGCATAATGATCGTGGGTTTCAAGAGTGTTAATTCTTTATATAGAACATCAACTAACATGTCTGTCACTGTGATTGAAGATGAATCAGTCAATGAAGTTACAGATGAAAGAAACAGCATTGGTGCATTGACACTCACAGTAGATAATCTGGAGAGCAGGCAGTTTTCTGAAGCAGTCGATCCGACTTCGCACTTAATCTCATTCCAGCCCATATCATTACCATCACCTATTTCATCCACCTCAGCTTCATCATCTAGAGCAGCAACACCATCGGCATCACCTCCACGATCACACAAAAAAGAGAAAGAGAGTTCAAGATGATGGTCCTACAAAATACCAGCTGCGGTTGCTGAGCAGTTTGGAAAAATTACTCAACAATCAGCATCTTCCCCAACCATTTTGGCAGAAGCATGCATTACAAATCAGAAAGCTTCCTTCTGATTACCTTAAAGCACTGGCTATAAAAGAATCCAGGATGTTCTTTTTGACATTGAATGGAATGAAAAATAATTGTGCTTTACTCTATGTTACAACAAAAAAGTAAAATAAAACTATATCAATAAGTTCTTTCCACATATTCCTGCTGCCATGAAAGTTGACCAACTTCTGAATTAAAATACATTGCAAAGTCGTCTCTGATTTTGGATGCTTCACTACTGTAGTTTCTTTGTTTGTTGTGAGCTAATGGTTCAAGCATACGGGTTGTTTCTTGCGTCCAAGACCCTTCATGAACATTTCCTGATGGATCCATAATATCAGTGAAACCAGCTGGACTGTAGGAAACATGGCGTGTTCGGAGGAAATTGCGCAAAATGCAAGTAGCCTTGACAATTTTGGACACATTTTCTCGTTCTGCTATAATGGTTGTTTCAAGTATTCGCCACTTGGATACCATTATACCTGATACAAACATCAAGTGTTTTTTATAATTGAAATACAAAGATCCAGAGTTTCTCGGAGCCTGAACAGCGATATGTTTCCCATCTAGTGATCTAATGCAGTTTGGAAAATTCCATGTATAAGCAAATCTGAAAACATACAACAAACAATGATGCAGTGGCACCATAAGTCTACAATAAAGTAACTCATGTTTTAACTTTACCCTTCAGATATTTTCCTCCAGTCAATTGGTTGCGAAGGAGCCTTCATGTATGTGGGGACCAGAACTCTCCAAAGTGCATTACACGTATTGTAGACAACTCACGAACTGTGCTAGCGCCACGACGATAAGCAAATGCTATAGACTGTGGGCTATCACCTGTAGCCAATCTTCTTAATGTGATTGCTAGTCTTTCAGCATGTCCAACTGCTTGCCTCATTTGAGTATCTTGCCTACGAAGAGATGGACCAACCAAAGCCAGCAGCTCATCAAATATTTGAGGGCTCATGCGAAAATACAGATTAAACTGCTCCTCATCGGTTCTTAGTTCTTGAACCAAGTGCAGAAAATCTCCTTGTACGCTCCTTTGCCTGTTTATTGACGAGCCGATCATCTTTTCATTTTATTATTTTTTCCCGTTTTTCAACCTCTTCCAGCACGTGCAATATGCAAACAGATGCTAGTAACTTAGCCTGATGACTAGACGCCATGTTGATAGTCGCAATTTGGTCGCAGTGAACTCGACATTTGAATAACTGGAATGATAACCGAAGCCAAAAATTGAAGCCAAAAAAATATTTGTCGTCATCATTCGCCATCACACGTCAGGCTCTATTCTCTCGCGTGTTCATTTTAATTTTTTTTAATAATTTGTCCCTTGGTAATGGCAGAGTTCGGATCTTGATCAGAGCGTAAAAATAACGAAATTTTTGGAATGAAAAGGTTCACGGAAAGTGAATCAAAGTGATAAATAGAGAAGCAAGATGAGGTGAACTTGATCGATCAGCTCTTACGCTGCGGTTTTCCTTTAAAACATATCAAAGTCTTTAAGGTAAATGGTTTGAACCCGGGAGTATCGTTACATGTTTGTAAATGTAGATCGTCCAGGTTGGTATAGTCCTGAGAAGGACTGTTTTTGTTGTTGTTGACTGACTTTTCGACAACCTTAGCAGTAGTCATCTTCAGAGTCAAAAAAATGACATTCAAAGTCTTTAAGGATATTCAATTTTTGATATCGAGATGACAACCATTTAGTATTTCAAGCACTATCAAAGTCGACTAAAAATACAATCGCTCTGTAAAAAGTAAAAATGCGAGTTATAGACTCAATATTTTTTATGAAACTGGATATTCAAGATTTCTTTTTTCTTCGGAAAAAAAGATCTTTAAACCCACTGAAATGACAAAAAAAGACAAACACTGTCAGACACCGTTTGAAAATTTACCTTCCGACGAAAGAAAAATTTATGCTTGAATATTTTCTCGTCATATTTTCTATTGTATTGTCTTTTTAGCAATGTATTGTCTTTTTAGTCAATTTTCAGTTGGCTTTTCCTCGTTACAAGTTGTAAGTTACAACGAGCTCACTGTAGTAAAGTCTCAACCGTAAAAAATAACCTTTTACGAAGAGTTGGCCTCGTGTGTTGTTTGTCGTGATGTTGTTTATATGTTTATGCTTTTGCAATTTGTATTCAAAATTTATGTTGGCCGTGTATGTTTGGCACTCAGGGGAATGATACTGACGTACAAACCGCGTGAATATTCGACTTTGAAGGACTGGAACTGACGTACAAACCGCGCAAGAGACTAGGACTTTGGCTTCAACTTTTTATCTATAAAATGTATTGTCGTTATCATTCCAGATATATATATATAAGGAGTTCACTGTATGATCGCCATGCTCGTTTTTGCATGTGTGTTTCTGACGTTCAAGCGACTAACGCGAGCATCAATTCGCTTTAGTCCCGCGACCAAAGCGACTGCACAGTGTGTTTCAGTGTGTTGTAGAATTATATTAGGGTATGGGGCCTAAGGAGGAGTACATTGAAACCCCATCGGTTTGTTTAAAAATTTCATTGTCGAAAGAAAAGCGCTTTTAATGCAACAGTCAATAATAACTTTTTAAGAGTTCTTTCTCAAGTTTAGTTAAAATTTGATTTTCTCAAAAATTTCTTTCCAAAATTATTTTTATTGCTCTGTTCAAAGGCACGTTGGTAAATAAAGATTCGACGTCATCCGACCCCCGCGATCCCGACCATCACAATCCCTTTCTCGGCGACGATCATGTCTATCGCGATCTCTATCACGGCCACGGTCTCGTTAACGCCTTGAACGGTCACGATATTCACCACCACGATCACGTTCATCTCGCTCGCGATCCCTAAAAATAGTAAAATCCATTTTCAGGTCAATTTTAGGCGCTGTCTCATCCAACATGCAGGCATGAGTAGGCAGGGTCTTTCAATTCCAGAAGATTGCTTCAGAGTAAAAGTGAAGTCTTGAGACATATGAAATGTTTATTGTCATTAAAATGAACTTCGCTT